TTTGCTGGTGCACCTGAGTGGCTCAGTCAGTTAAGCATCTGATTTTGGCTCAGGTCACCATATCGCGGTTCGTGAGTTTGAGCACCATATCAGGCTCTCTGTTGTCAGTGCAGAGCTTGCTTCGGATCCTTTGTCCCCCCCCCTCTCTGTCCCTCCCCCACCTCACTCTCTCTTTCTCAAAGATAAACATTAAAGACATTTATATGCTGATATTAACTCAATAGTATCATCTTCTTGAACAAATGAACAAAGGCAGCACAGTTATGTCAACAGTTATTTCCTCAACAAGCAGTTTCCAAGTGCCAAGTATGTGTTAGGCACGATCCTGTGTACTATTATTCCAGCGACCTTAAAGTCTGGTGAGTGGAGACAGATATGAAAACTGGTCATTTGAATATGACATTATCTATGGGAGCCCATGGGGGTTTCAGAGTGAGCAATCAATGTCACATTCCTTGCCTCATGGCCCTCAATTCCAGAATGGATATGCTGGTGGTTGCCCCTCACCACAGGCCCGCAAAGCACAGCATGCAGACACAAAAGTGCTCCTAACTCATCGCAGGAGTAGCTGCCAGTGAAAGGTACAGCCATAGCTGTTATGAAGAGGCCAAATTCTCTGTAGGCAAGAGTGGCCTGAGAAAGGAGGAAGATGAAGTCTTGGATCTGGGACTGGAAAAAAATGGATGCAACTTGGTTAAATGGAGAAACAGATTAGATTAAAACATGATTCTCCCATGTGTTCAGCTCTTTAAATTTTGCTTTTAAATGCATGCCTTCTATTTTCTGAGTGCTGCCTGCCTTGAATGCTATTGGTTTGCTTTTGTATTTTTTTTCCCTTGTGCATTTTGAAGATTGGGTAAAGTGGGGTAAAGGATTACAGGAAAAGGAAGAATGAATGAGGTGCTTTAAACCCAGTACTGTGTGATAGAACTTTCTCAATGACTGGAAGTTTCTGTTCTGTGCTGTCCAGTATAGTAGCCTCGGGCCACACGTTGCTACTAAGCAGTTAAAATGAGGCCAGCGTCAAAGGAAACAATCCATAAAACTAATAGGCAACCAACGGAATGGGAAAAGATAGTTGCAAATGACATATCAGATAAAGGGCTAGTATCCAAAATCTATAAGAAACTCACCAAACTCCACACCCACAAGACAAACAATCTAGTGAAGAAATGGTCAGAAGATATGAACAGACACTTCTCCAAAGAGGACATCCTGACGGCCAACAGACACATGAAACGATGCTCAGCGTCCCTCATCATCAGGGAAATACAAATCAAAACCACACTGAGATACCACCTCACGCCAGTCAGAGTGGCTAAAATGAGCAAATCAGAGAACTCTAGATGCTGGTGAGGATGTGGAGAAACGGGCACCCTCCTACACTGTTGGTGGGAATGTAAACTGGTGCAGCCCCTCTGGAAAACAGTGTAGAGATTCCTCAAAAAAATTAACAATAGAACTCTCCTAGGACCCAGTAATAGCACTGCTAGGAATTTCCCCAAGGGATACAGGAGTGCTGATGCATATGGGCACATGTACCCCAATGTTCATAACAAGCACTCTCAACAATAGGCCAAAACGTGGAAAGAGCCTAATTGTCCATCAACGGACGAATGGATCAAGATGTGGTTTATCTATACCATGGAATACTACATGGCAATGAGAAAGAATGAAATCTGGCCATGTGTAGCAACATGGATGGACCTTGAGGGTGTTATGCTGAGCGAAATAAGTCAGGCAGAGAAGGACAGATATCATATGTTTGCACGTATAGGAGGATTAGGAGGAACTTAAAGAAGGACCTTGGAGGAGAAGAAGGGGAATAATAGTGGGGGAGAGGGAGAGAGGCAAACCATGAAAGACTCTTGAATGCTGAGAACAAACTGAGGGCAGATGGGGTGGGGGAAGTGGGAGGGGGTTGATGGACATGGAGGAGGGCACTTGTGGGGATGAGCACTGGGTGTTATATGGAAACCAACTTGACAATAAACTATTTAAAGTTAAAAAAGTGAGGCCAGTGTGACAGAGGAAAGGATTTTTTCATTTTATTTTAAATATTTTTAGTATCCACTGTATTGGAAAGCACAGCTCAAATTACTTAGCAAATAGTCCACACAGACCCTTGTAAAGGTGCTTCTAGAGGTGCCTGGGTGGCTGGCTCAGGTCATGATCTCACAGTCTGTGAGTTTGAGCCCCACATCTGGCTTCCTGCTGTCAGTGCAGAGCCCGCTTCAGATCCTCTGTCCTCCTCTCTCTACCCCTCCCCTTGTGCTCTCTCAAGAATAAAAAATATATAAATGCTTCCATTAACCTAGTTATGGGGGCACTCGTTTGGAGTTGAACAGGCTTGATCAGTCAGGGGCTGGAGGATCATGGTTCCTAAGAACAACCCTATAAGGGTTTATTCCTCATTTACACAGTGCCTTCAGGTACATTATCTCATTTAATCCCATAAGAACCCTGAAGAGGGGAGGGTGGAGATGATCATCCTCATGAAATCCAGTAAGTAGGTGACACTAGCAAGGCTCTACGGCAGATAAGGGTGCAGACTTAGAGGGGCGCCTGGGTGGCTCAGTTGGTTGGGTGTCCAACTTCGGCTCAGGTCATGATCTCACGGTTTGTGGGTTCGAGCCCCACATCGGGCTCTGTGCTGACAGCTGGCTCAGAGTCTGAAGCATGTTCCAGATTCTGTGTCTCCCTCTCTCTCTGACCCTCCCCTGCTCACGCTGTCTCTATCCCTCTCTCAAAAATAAATAAAACATTAAAAAAAAAAAGGGTGCAGACTTAGAGGCCAGGTGTTTTTCCTCCTAAGTGGGAGGCTCTTCCCAGGGAGACAGCACCAGCGGAAATGAAGTCATGTTACTAATGCCAACTGCTGGCAGACTAGGCCTTATATTGTAGGATTTTGTTACCTCAATACCCGGGGTTCGTTGTCTTGCTGCTTCGAAGAATGAAGAGGTGGACACAAAATGAGCAGCAGGCAAAAGTTTATTAGAGTATAAGATCAGAAAGGAAGAATAGCAGTAAAGCAATTTACAGAGAGGGGGCATTTGAAAGTGAGTGCCCATGCACTATAGGCAACATTCCTTGTTTTATAAGGTTCTGGTCAGCCCCCCCCTTTCCTTTCCCTCTTGTATCTTCTCAGGTCCTACCCTTATTGGCTGGATAACTCTAAGTGCTGGGTTGTCCATTCCTGATTGGCTGGACCCCATTTTATGAGGGGTGGTCTCTGGCCATACCCGTCCTTGCAGGTCATAGGTTTTTTTGGGCTACTACTTATTTTTTGTCAGGTCTTTTGTCAAATTCCTGAGGAAAACCTGAAGGGGAGTAGGTGGGGTCTGGTACATTCTTAAGAGGAACCTTAAGCCTGAGGGAGTTTGCTGTGATCAGACACTCCCAGCATTGTTCCAAAACACATTTGTCCCCATCCAGGGACCTCAGGTTCTATCCTTTAACTCTGCCTATTTTATCCTATCTTTCCCTTTCATATTTACAGATGAAGAGAAGTGCTCTGCTTCACACATCTCTGACTTTTTCCTACTAGACTGTGGCTAATAGGGTCATAGATTATTAACAGGAACCCTATTTTATTCCCTTCCCACTGTCTTGATTGACACAGTAGGAATGTTTTTGAAAAGTTCGTTTATATATTCAAAAGTATATACTGAGTACCAACCCTGTCCCAGTCAGTCAGTGTTCTAGATCTGAGGATACCGCTGTGAACAAAGCAGAGATCCCTTTCTTGTGGAGCTGACAGTTTGCGGGAGGTGGGGGTGGGGACTGACAAGAATAAATAGTGTATATATATTTTTAACATTTCAAAAATATTTTAAATATGCCATGGTCTCTCATCTTTTATGGTACACACACTGTCCAATGTATATTTTTGTGTAAATCTGCACCTGCACTTCAAGAAACTGGCTGTCTGGCTGAAATGTGGAAATACCTTTGATTTAGTCTTTTACCATGTGTTGAGTGCCACCTATGTGCAGAGTCTGATACTAGGGACCTTGGAGAGATGCAGAAGAATGAGAAGACAAGGTCCTGTCTTAGGGGGTGCCCAGCCCCACGAAAGAGGCAGTCCTTTCCTTCGGAGCTCCTAGCCTGTAAGAGCTGACAGTCTAGTTTGGGAAGGCAAACAACTTCAGGACCCACTTACAAAGGGGAATCCCAAGTACGTGCAAAAATGAATCCAGGCTAGACTGTTCAGAGTTGGGTAAACTGTCCCCACTCATGATGATGAAGAGCTGCTGCATGTCCCAACAGTGAAGAAGATCCCAGAGGGCAGCCCTTCATGGATTACTGTTACCCTGGCAAGTCTGGATGAGATGGGATTTGAGGTGCTATTGCAAGAATGCAGAACTCGGAGGCAGGATGGAGTGGGGTGGGCATCCCAGGTAAAGGATCTCTCCTGGGGGTGCTGGGCAATTAAGCAGTCTTGGGCACAAGCCTAGACAGTCACCCCCAATGCAAACCCAACTGAAGATGCAGAGGAGAAAGGAAGGCCAGTGTGTGCGCATAGGGGCGGGGGTGTCTTGGCTAGGGAGCGGCAGCAGGAAGGAGCTGGTCAAAGGTGGAGGGAGGGAGTGGGGGAAGCCTGGGCCAGAGTCTTCTCTGCAGCGCCCTGGTTCCTGGACAGCCGTTAAGGAAGCGAGGTGAGAAAGGGTTAAGTGTGCCCATCCACCGCCCCAAATGCTTCCTGTGTTTGAAATCCTTCAGGTCTCCAAAACCCTCTGGCCCCCGGCCAGGCGGGCATTGTCCGGGGAGCGGTTGTGGGTTGTTGGAGCAGCCGTGCAGCCTTTGTTGTGGGGCCATTTCGAGGTTCCCTCTCGCGCCCTGGCTGGGGCCGCACAGTGCGCGCTGGGAGGAGGGCGGTGCGGGAGGCTTGCTCCCTCTCTCTCTTCCTGGCCCCCCCTCCAGTCCCCCAGATGACCACATGACCAAGTGGGCTCGCGGCCAAGCCACAAGCTACAAAATGCAGCCCCTGGAGTGAGCGGGGAGCATTCTCGCTGGGCCACGGGCAGTCGGAGCCGTGGCGGAGCAGCCAGCCTCTTGGAAAGAGCTCGCTGCTGTCCCCGGAGCCGCCCGCCGAGGCCAGCTTGGAGGCGCTGCCCCGCGGCGGGAGAGGGAGGCTGCAGGAGAGGCGGCAGCGAGCGAGCGCGGCAGCCGGCCAGCCCGCGGCGCAGCCGGGGAGCCACGCGAGCTCAGCGCCTGCACGCACGCACTACCCGCGGCTCGCGCCTCTCTCCTCGCCTCCCGGAGGGGCCCGGCCTCCCTGGCCTCCCCGCCCCCTGGCCCCAGGCAGCGGCCCAGGAGCAGCATGGATCTGCGGAGGTGCGTGCTGGCGCTCCTACTGCTCTGGCTCTCTCTGACCCCGGTGTGTGGAGGTGAGTGCGCGCCCTGCCGCTAGCCCGCGAGCCCTTTGCCGCGCTACGGGACCGCAGCCGACGCGCTCCCTCCCCTCCGCCCCCTCGCTCGTGAGCTCTCCTCCTCCCGCGACCCGGCGCGAGCCCAGCTGGAGCAGCCACGCGCCGCCCCGCGGGGCCGCAGACTGACTGACAGAGCGCCTTGGGCAGAGGACCTGTTGGCCGGCAGGGGCGACCCCTTCCTCCGGGGGCGAGGTCGGGGGGCTCGGTTGGTTCTCGGGCATCACCCGCCCGGCGCCTTGCCCCTCCCGGCGGCCCGGCGGCCCCTCGAAGTCCGAAGAGCTCAGGGCCGCCGGCATGCGCCCCGGGTCCCGCGCCCTGCACCCCACGTGGTGAAGGGCAAATGTGGGGCGGGCGGCACGTTCCGCTCCCCAGGGATCAGTGGAGGTAGCTGACCTGACTGAGCCTGGTGGGCTGGCCTCCCAAATGGAAGGTTTCCCGGTTCCTGGAGGTTAGGGGCCAACCGCCGGTCCCGGGGCGCGGGCCACTGGGGATGATGTGCCAAGATGCAGACGTGACACTTGTTGCATAGGCAGGCGCGCGCGGCGGGGGCGTGGAGCCCAGCTGCTGCTCCGCTCAGCCTGCATGGGAGCGGAGGCAGGCTTCCCCGGATCTGGTCGGGCAGGGCCAGCCCAGGCCGCTCTTCCCTTTCCCCAAGGTCTTATCTCGTGTGCTCCTCTGCTGCCCTCATGGGAGGCTCTCCCCACAGACTCCTCGCCACCCCGGGGACTCTTTCATCGATATCCTGGCTCTGGCCTTTACTCAGCCCCAGGCACACTTCACCTCAGTCCTCTTGTCTCTAGGCACCAAACCAGGAAACGTGGACCTGACTTGACACTTCCATGCAACTCTGGGAGGGGGAGTCCTTTCTCCCCCACCTGCAACACACACACACACACACACACACACGCACGCGCACACACACACACACACACACACAAACACACACACACCTGGTATACTTGGCACTGGTGCTCCCTTGCCCTCCCCAAACCTTGTCTCCGCAAATGCCCTGGCAGCTCCGGCCCAGGCTGCCTGTCCCCTGTGCGTCAGTGTCTCTTGGGGCTGTCAGCTCCTACCTCCAGCTGCCACAGTCCTGTGATCTGGCTATCACTGCTGCCTGCCTGGCACCACAGAAGGGGAAGGCCAAAACCAGGTGGATTAATGCCAGTGCCAGGGCTGGAGGCACAGAAAGGTGGGAGCAGAGGGAAGGAGAAGGCAGGGGAGCCCTACTTAGTTCCAGACCCTCCAGAGAGGTAAGATGGCCTGCAGCCCAGGAGCCTCTCCGAGGGGCCTGGCGGGGCTCCACCTCTCTCCCTTTGTAGGCTGCCTCCTTTCTCTGCTTTTGCCTTTTGGCACTGCCCTGGCCCTGGGAGCACTGCCTGCTTCTCAGGAAGATGCAGTTGGTTGGCTCTGTCACCCCCTGCCTTCAGCTAGCTGTCCCGTGTCTTCTCCTTCAGAGCCCAAGTGCTGGGTCAGCCTCTTCCTTGATATGGAGGGACTGAGCTTTTCTTCAGAAATCCCTTCAGGCAGGCATACAGAGAGCAAAGGTATGAATGAAGGACACCTCATGGGCCTGCTCTCCAGGAGCCTACCATCCAATGCAGTTGGCAAGACAAGACACCCACATGACACCACCACTGGCAACTAGTCTAACGTGGTGCCTGCAGGGAAGAAAGTGTGGGTGCAGAGAGGGTGTCCCAGAAGAAGCTGGGGCTTCCTGATCTGCATACTTGGTGCTCCCCCAAGAGGCTATGGGGAGACCCTTGGGCAACTGACCTCCACTAGAACCCTTCTGGGATCCAGCTGGTAAAGGGGACAGCTAGTTTCAAGGGGGATGGAACACTGTGTTTTGGCCCAGACCCTGTCACCTCTTGCTTTAATTCACCCTTCTTCATTAGGCCAGCTGTCTCCATGCCCTTGTTTGGGTAAATTTGTTGCCCTCACATTTTGCTTAAGCCTAGCACTGGACATTTCTAAGGCCCTCAGTGCCTTTTCCATTCCATGACATCTCCTGGAGCCAGGGAGGGGCACTTCTGTGCAGGTGGCCACCAGCCAAGGGTCCGAGTACCTATGGCCTGGCTCCTCCTGCTTCCTATCCTGGGCCAGAAACTCGGACCCCAGAACCACCTTGCCCTTGGCCCAGACTTGCATGCCCTCCCCAGCCAATCTCCAGTCAAAGTCCCAGGCCTGAAAACATTGCTTCCTCCACAACACACTCTGTCCTGACTTGGAATGTCCCCCCACCCTCCCCTTGCCAGACACACACAGACTCCTGCAGTGCCTCCTGACCTGGGATACACTTTGTCTTTTGAGTCTGAGAACTGCTGGGCCAGAGCCAAGTGTCCCTTGGTCTCTGAGCACCTCTCTTTCTTTTCCTCCCCTCCCCCTCCTCCTCCTGAGCCCTAACTCAAAGACTGCAGTCACAGCTCTAGTGTGAGGACAGCCTACTGTACCTCACCCTCTCAGAGAAAGGGCATCGGCTCCCCATCCCCAATCCTAAGTGCCAAGCACTCTTGTAACCTAAGTCAGGCCTCTTGGGCGAAGGACTAATGCAAGTAAAGTGGAGGGCCAAGCTGCCAGAGTGTGATGTGTCCAAGGGCAGCAAAGCTGGCACGGGAAGATAGCTCAGGGCACTGGGGTGGAGGGCTGGGCAGACAAAGGAAGGGTGCCTCATCAGGGAGGTACCTGCGGGACCACAGAGCAGTGGAGGGGACACAGCCAGCGGGTTGCTACCAGAGCACTCATGTGGACTTTTAAAGCAATCACAAGATAGGCTGGACAGCAAGAGGAAAAACAGGTGCATCATTCCTGGTAAGGCTGGCATGTTCCTGAAAAGTCCCACGCACCTCTTTGTGCACTGTCAGGGTTAGAGTTCAGGTTACATGAAAATCAAACCTTGTTCGCCCCTGACCGTAGTTCCCAGTGCAGAGATGCTGGAGCCCCGTTCTGATGTGCTTCAGAGAGCAGTGGCTCCAGTCCCTCTAGGCTTCAGGTTCTTTGGAGGGTTGCCCCAGCCTCCCTTTAAGTAGCAAATGACTTGGAAGAAAATATTTAAGTACACTGAGGATGGCTGACATTTCTAAAGGGGAATTCCTTTGTACAGGCAGGACCTCTACAGTGATGAAAATCAGCAGCCTCCAAATGTCCCTTTGGACAGGATAAAGCTCGGGTTTCAGGTGTCAGCTTATCTCAGGGTGAGCCAGACTCAGAATCAAAAGTAGGAAACAGGTGGGTGATGGGATCGGGGTGTGGGAGGAGCTGCAGACTTCCAGCTACAAAGAAGACAGTGAGCCCCCCACCTGACGGGATGCAATGTGCCGGGGGCTTCTGGGTGGCTGCTCTCTGGGGTTTGGCTGAGCACTTGATTAGCTCAAAGTAGTTCTTCTCTGCAGGCTTGGAGTCTAGATGTCTTCCTGGCCAGAGTCTGAGCCAGCGTCCCTGTTCCATCCTGGTTCTTGGCCTCCCCACACCGAGGGCCTTTCACCCCTAGCCCCCCTCCCTTACTGCAACCAACACTCATAGTCCTGGGTGCTGAATACTTGGAGATGACACCCTCCCCATCTAGGCACCTTGCCTCTCTTCTCCATGCCCACTATACCCCTGGGGCTGTAACCTGTGCCATTGGCCAGTCCCCACCCCAGCCCCAGTAGTCCAGGGCATGGACTCAAGAACCAAGGTCTCACATTATCAAGACCCCTCGGGTCCTCCCTTGTGCCTGGCCACACCCTCACCACAGTTCTTCCTGTCGCAAGTGTTCCTTATCAGCATCATTCCTACCCACCTCAGTGGTCAGGAAGAGCCTTGAGGGGACCCCAAAATACAGGGCAGAAGCTGAAGCAGCTGACATTGGGGGGTGCTTTGTGAAGGTCCTTCACTCCTCTCTCCTTCCCTGGCCCAGGCCTTTTACAAATGGCTTTATGACAGACAGAAGTGGCCTCCTGCCCCACTGCCCCAAAGTGAGAATATAATTTATTTCAATTCTCATGAGGTGATGGGTTTTAATTCTCATTAGGGGAGAAGCTGACACATTACCCCAACCAGAAGCATGGGAGTGTGGCTGGTAACCAGTGGGGTCTTAATGGGCCTGTGGCTTTTCTTGGGGAAGGAGGTAGGGGACTAGGCAGTGTGCATGTGTGCAGTGGGGTTGTGTGTCTGAGAAAGCACAGGCCCTGGAGCCTGGGCGGAGAGGGCCCAAAGGACAAATTTCATCTGCTTTTGGCCCAAGAGGAGGATAAACGCCTGGAAATTGTGTGCAAAGGGAGGAGGAATCACGAGAGCCAAGAAGCCAATAGAGGAACCAGAGTATGGGGATGCTGGAGGCAGGAGGGGGGAAAGGAAGAGCAGCCAGGGGTATGACTGGGGGGCTAGCAGCCAATGGGTGGTTATATGGAAACTGTGAGCTAGTTGTAGGGATTCCTGGAAGGATGAAAGTAGGGACTGAGGGGCAGGGACATGGCTGAGGGTGAATCTGGTGGTGTGGGAGGAGACTGGGATTCATGATCACTGACCTCAGAGGCTGTTTTCCTGCAGGACAGCCCTGGACTGGCCATTGCAAAAGTTCCCCGCAAGTTGGCCTTCTGCCCAGCACCTTCTCATCTCCCTATCCTGCATGCTTCCAGTGGCCACACTTGTTTCTGGAGTGCAAGCCCACCTTCCTGGGTGCGCTGCAGCCTTCATGAGAGCCGGTCCACATGCCTTCTCCCTCACTGTGCCCAACACCCAGCACCACTTGGATTCTATCGTCAGGGCTTAGCCTGACATAAGGAGGCTTCTTCTCTAAGCCAGATGTGGACAGATATAGAGCAGAGCCCTAGAGAGCAGACGAGAAGCCAACTGGGATTTAAATGGAAGGGTTTACATTAAACACAGGGTGGGGGTGTGATCTGGAGATGAAAGAAGATGAGGTATCCGGTGGGGAGGTGCCAGGTGCAACAGCCCACACGTCTCTTGATGCACAGACTTGCCGCTTCAAGTGACCATTCACTCAGTGGTTCACTCATTCATTCATATAAGATGTATTGGTCTCTAAATCTGGTCATAAACTGAATGGAACCCAGCTTAAGGCACACAGAGCCAGAGACACCCCCCCCCCCACGCCACCAGCCATACCCACAAGGAGATCACAAGGAGCAAGTGAGATGCCTAAACACTGATGAGATGCCCAGGAGTGAGGTGTGAGATCTTGAGTACTCAAAAGTAGGTCACGTGAGTATTGAAGGATGTAGGAGCACAGTGACACGATGTTCTGGATTTGCTCTAGAATACTTCACAAAGAAAGGGGATAACTAAAACATATGTGACTCCATCTGGATAACTGTGGAATCTGGATGATGGATACATGGTGCTCGGGGGATTCATCTCCTTGAAATGTTGCATGTTTAAAATGTTTTAAGTGTATCCATTGCAAGGGTACAGTGGAGGGGTGGTTATTGCTTGCTGTGCCCTAACCAGGTATGGACATATGCCTCAAACTGTATCCCACAATGATGTTCTAAATGAAGAATATGTTTGCACCTGCCAGAAACATGATAGAGCTGCCAAAGGACATAAAGTTAGCTCCATAAATTGCAAGGTGTGAGCAGTAGGTTTGTCCCAGGGCAGTGTAAAAATTGCAAATTGTTCACCAAGATAGAAGATAAAAACAAAGAAAAACTTTGATGAGTACTCTCATGGAGAGATGGCCCTCTACCATGAGCCCATAGCCCCCTGTCCATTTGCATCAGCCTTCCTGGCTAACAGGCTTTCTTCTTCCTGCAGGGCCCCTGCTGCAGCCTTCTGATGGGAATGGGCTGGAAGAAGGCAGTGTCCGCCACCTGGTGCAGCCCAGAGGGTCGAGGAACGGACCAGGACCCTGGCAAGGAGGTCGGAGGAAATTCCGCCGCCAGCGGCCACGCCTCTCCCACAAGGGCCCCATGCCTTTCTGAAGCAGGTACTTGAGCCTCTGGTCAGTGGGCAGTGGAAGGAGCAGGGAGGGACAGCCTGGAAGCCTGGTGGCCCTGTTGCTTATCACTGGACAGACACCTGTCCCAAGCAGTTCCAGCCCCATACACAATACGGGGCCTTATAGAACACCTGTCTTACTCCTTCATTTTACAGACATGGAGACCAAGGCCCAGAGAGAGGCATACACCTCAGGCCAATTTCCTAACTCTCTAGGAACAGGGTTCCAGCTCCCCTCCACCCTGCTGCCTGGGTTTGGGCAAGCTGGCCCAGACAGAGAGTTGTAGAAGCCCTGGGGGCCCTTGATGAGCTGGAGAGGGGTGTACCAGGGTAGGCTCACAGGTGTGCAGGGAGAATGTTCACCAGAGCTAGGGAAGCAGCGAGCCTTGGGGGCATCATGCAGAGAACAGGAAGAGAGTTGCCCACAGCCACAGGAAAGAGAAAAACCCAAGGCAGCTGCAGAGAAAGCAAGGCTTAAGCCTGCTCCTGAGACCTGGCCTGCGATGTCCCCCTGTAGTCTGGACAAGGTGGTGCGAATTCAGAGACCCGGGGCTTTAGGTTCAGGGTTGTGGGGAGAGGGAAGTGAAGGCTGTCTCCTTTCTTTTCTGGGATGGTTCCTTTGACCTAGGATATGACAGTGACTCCTTTCTGGTCATTTTTGTCTCTTTAGGACTGAAGGGGCCCCTGAGTGCCCGCCCCCTGCAACTCTTGCCAGTCCATAGATTGGTCTGCTTCTCTGGAGCCCTCACATCCATTCACCTCTCATCTTGCACCTGTCCTCGCCACTGATGGTTCCAGCTCTTCTTACCCACTGGCTTCCCCGAATGTGTGATCCTGCCCCTGGTTGGGATGATTCCCTTTCTCTCCAGTGGATTCATTCAGCCCCTCTTCCTGGCTCTTCTCTGGACTGACTTTGGAGACCCAGCACTGGAAGGCCTGCCTTCTCCCGCCCCATCCCCTTCCTCTAATCCCCACCTCCTCCCATTTAACAGCCCAAGCTTCACCCAGCCCTTCCTTCCTCCAGCTCGCTCTGTGAGCTGGGGGGAAACACTCCCCTCTTCAGTGGGCTCCAGCATATCCCAGGCCTTCCAGCTTCCAGTCAGGTGGACCCTTCACCGGGGAAAGAGCCTCTGGTTAGAGGGACTGGGCATCGGGATGTAGACAGGGTGCCTTGGGGGGCATTGGAATGGGGGCTGGTCTTCTAGTGAAGGGGAGAGGGGAGGCATTGGAGAAGAGGAGGGATAGCTGCTGTGGCCTTTTCTTATTCCATGTTTGGCTTAAGGAAGAGGCAAAGGAGAGGGGCCATGAAGTACTTTGTTACCTCTCTCATCTTTTTGTGTCTCCTAACACTGCCCCCTCACCCCCAACTCCTTCTCTCCCTTGCCCTCTCACTCAGGAGATGGCTCTGTAGTCTCCCAGGAGCAAAAGCCAAGCAGGAGTAGTGTTATGTTGTTGTTGTTGTTTGTTCTGTTTTGTTCTTGCCAAGAATCACAATACCAGCACCAAAAGAAACCTTGGTGATCACTTAGCTCTGCCTCCTTGTGCAAACTCCTGCAAAATGGTCCTGGAGAGGGATAGTGACCTCTTCAGGGTCACTGCAGAGCCAGAATGAGGACCCAGGTCTCCTGGCTCCCATTTGATGATATCCTCTTCCCTCTTAATGATATATTTTCAGAACACATTAAGTGCCTTTCCCAAGATTGGGACTGGGGGTTGCAGGGAAGGGAGAGGCAAGCCAGCTATGAACTGCCCCACGGTGGTATGGGGATGGAGCTGCTCCTGCCTCCCTGGCCTGCCCCTGCCGGTCCATTCCCCAGCTGGGGCTGGAGGTTCCCTAACTTGCCAGCTGCCCCCATTCCTGCAGCACTTCCAGACCCCAGGTATTCTTATAGGGACAGCTCAGGTACTGAGGCTACTGTTCCAACCCCAACACCGGTTTTCAGAGGCCAGAAGGTAGCCTTCAGTAATTGGACTCAATAGCCTTCTCTTCACGTTGACTGGACCTTCTTTCCCAGGGGCCTTTCCTTAGGGGAGGAGCAAGGGGGAGAAGAAGGAAGGGAGGGAAGGAAGGAAGGAAGGAAGGAAGGAAGGAAGGAAGNAGGTAGCCTTCAGTAATTGGACTCAATAGCCTTCTCTTCACGTTGACTGGACCTTCTTTCCCAGGGGCCTTTCCTTAGGGGAGGAGCAAGGGGGAAAAAAGAAAGAGAGAGAGAGAGAGAGAGGAAGGAAGGAAGGAAGGAAGGGAGGGAGGGAGGGAGGGAGGGAGGGAGGGAGGGAAGGAGGGAGGAAGTATAGGTCTGAGCAGACTTCCTTCTCAGAGGCCTCCCAGAGGAGACAAGAGCCTGATGGCCACCTATGTATGTGTGGAGACAGGGGGAGTCAGGGCCCCCCAAGTCCCACAGTAACCCCAATATTGTCTAACCGCCTCTCCCCCTTACCTCCACTGCTGCTGATGCTACTGCTGCTACTGCTTCAAGGCCCACCTGAGGGGCCAGGCTGGGCACCTGCTTCCCCCCACACACCCCCAGGTTGGGAGTGGGGGCTGGTCAGTGTTCAGAAAGCCTCTTCTGCCACTCATGCCCCCACCAGGGATTGGGCCTTCTTTCCCTTCCCCCTCTCTGCATCTCCTGCCTCATCAGCTGCCTAGCTCCGTGGAGAAAACTGGGGAAGTCTAGAGACACGGAGCAGAAGAGGGCAGGGGGAGGCTGGGGGACTGTCTTATTTAAAATGGTTGTGTATGATTCTTATACTAATTTATACAAAGATATTAAGGCCCTTTTCATTAAGAAATTGTCCTCTTCCCATAATTATGTTCACTGTGTTTGTAAAAATTGTTCTGTGTAAATATGTCTTTATAATAAAGAGTTAAAAAACTGACAATTCACCCTTACTGTTGGAGGTCATGTTCAGGAGGGTCATTCCTGTCCCTTGAGGTTCATGGTTGTCCCTATGCCCACATATTGCACTTGCACAGAGGTAAATGCCTGCATCCCTAATCAACTCCATGTCTAATGGCCTTGAACCAATTTGCCACAAACTCACAAAAGGACTCTCTATTCTTAATGACTGATTCACATAACAGTCAGTCCGCTTTTAAATGTTTTGGCATCTGTTTGGGTGTCCTTTTCTTTTTTTCTTCATTGTCATTTAAAGATTTTTTAAAAAGCAATTTATTTAAGGACATTCTGGTTAAAGGTGGGATTTCTACTAAAATGTGTCTTATATCCTTGGTGGGTGTCTTCTAATTTTATCTACTTTTCAACACTTTCAGGACTTTTTAGCCAGTTTGCCTTTCTTGAAAATTGTTATATTTCTTGCAATAAGTACATTTGGTAATGGCTTTGTATGTATCACTTTATGTTTCACAAAATAGAGCTGCTTGATGAATGAGAACGCCTGAAAAATAAACTGCAAGGAGTTCAATACAATTCTGCCCCATCTGTCTCACTTCTTCACACTTGTCAAAATGCCAATGCCTTGCAAAACAGAAAGGGGCATGGGTACATGCTAATTTGGTTAATCAACTCATTAGGTGCACACAGGCATACACAATGCAGAGTAAAACCCAGTGAAAAGGAGACAGAAGTGATCAAGAAGGTGCATTTCAAACATCTTATGGGCTATTCTACAGATTTGACAAGTGCTAGAAATACACAATTTTAAAAAAAGGTCTGCCGACAAACTTGCTAAAAGCCATAAAACTGCTCAATAGGAGATAAAATAGAAAAAACCACGCACAAGCATGTAAAGTAATCTCGTCATTGACAAAATGCTGCAGATTGCGACATAGTGCTTTTAAAATAACGACATTATGTTGGAAGTACCTCTTAGGAAAATTGGTACAAAATGCCTTCTTTCAAAATTACTACTTTGACTTTTAGGCAAACTGGTCGTCAGAGTAACTGGTTTTAGGCAAAGAGGTTTTAGGTGGGCTGGCTTTATGCTGATTGGTCCGTTGCCTCCCTAATCACGCCCAAAGCTCTCATTTTACATGAAACCAAAGAGAAGGGAGTGGTGGCAAGGCAGGATAACTTAATAGTGACCCATAAGTGTATAGCCTTTTAACAGCTTTCAGAGGTCTTTTTAAAAATAACTCATTTTACTCTCCTAACAACTGGGTGACACAGTCCACAATCCCCATTTTACAAATGAGAAATGAGAAAATGGCCTCAGAGGGTGAAGCCATTAAGTGAATCTAGAATCTGGACTTTGGATTCTAGAATGCAAATTCTTTCTGTGGTACTATAGAAGTGGGTGCCCCTAATTAGAGGGAAGACTTAAGTACAAAGTGTGTTTGGTATTCTCGGTAAGTGCAATAGACATAGATGGCATGGTGTGGGCTGGTGGGAGCAGAGAAAGGCTAATGGACGCTGTCCTCATAACACTAGCTCCAGAGGCCCAATCACATTGGGTTAAGTTGGCAGGGGGATGGTGGGTAGTGGAGGTGGGGACCGGAAGGGGAGCAAGCACCGGGGTCCTCTGGGCATAGGGAGTTAACTGGATGCTAGTGGGTGGCTGCAAGTCTGACCTCGGGGCAAAGAATGAGGGGAAGGTGAGCTAATAGCCTTCTGGGAGGATGATTAGACATCAAAGCAAAAGAAGGCAAGACATACGGGTTGCCACTCTTTGGCAATATCTTGGCCAAATAATCACAATAGAATCAGGGTAGGGGGTTGTTTCAGAAAACACAGAGGAGGCATGGAGAGGGGCACTTGTGGGGATGAGCACTGGGTGTTATATGGAAACCAACTTGACAATAAACTATTTGTAAAAAAACAAAATAAAATAAAATTTATAAAGAAAAAAAAGAAAACACAGAGGAAAAAAGAAAAAGGGGTTCACTTAACTGGACCAGAAGTCATCAACTGAGAGGTTGAAGGGTGGATGTGGGGGACAGAGAACTTGAAAAACAACAAATCCACCTGGAAATTAGGCAGCTTCTGCAACAACAGAGATTAGGGAGGCAAACAGACCCAGACCACCCATGGCTTTCGAGGACCCCAGGTGTCTGCTAAAATGAGCCACAATCTTCTGAAGCCTAACATTTCAGACTCTCCCAAAAGCCCCCAGCTGACTTGGTTCCACCAACTGGGGCTGGGCTCCACTGAGGAGGGAACTACTCAGCCTGGTGCAAGCAGCCATTCTGAAGTGCTTATAAAATTTTATTTTTCAGGCCGAAAGCTTATTCAACTGAAATTTCTCAATCCAAAATTTCTTTCAGACCAGAGTGAGCTTAGGCCAGCTAACCTCCAAAGGGAATGACAGAGAAGACTTACTATCTTTTTTAACTCTTTATTATAAAGACATATTTACACAGAACAATTTTTACTATCTTCTGCTCCCAGCCCTAGAAGGCTGTAGACTCAGCCAGCATGTCTCTGGAACCCTCAGATGGAAGTCCTCTCCAGGGCTCCTTTTAAAACTTAAAAGTTTATTTATTTTATTTTGAAGAGAGATTGGGTCAGCGAGAGTGGGGGGAGGGGCAGAGAGAGAGGAAGACAGAATCCCAAGCAGGCTCCATACTATCAGTGTAAATCTCAACGTGGGGCTCGAACCCATGACACTGTGAGATCATGACTTGAGCCGAAATCAAGAGTCTGACGTTCAACCAGCTGAGCTACCCAGCAACCCCATCTCCAGAGCTCCTTTGAAAAGTCCACGCTCCCCATGTAATTGGCCAGTGCTCACAAAGGTAGCCCAGCAAGGGGCTTCTCTCATTGCCAAAGGCCAGAGCCTCATCCAGAACATTTCCTCGAATGTTTCAAATCAAGGGTTAACAAACTTTTTCTGTAAAGGGCTGGATAGCATTTTTGACTTTGCAGGGCCACTCCATCTTGGTCTCAACTACCCCAGTCAGCTGTTGCAAAAATAGCCATAGGCAAAATGTAAATGAATGGTTGTGGCTGTGTTTCAACAAAACTTTATTTATAAAAACGGGTGGCAGGTCACAATTTGCTGAACCATGTGTCATTTCAGCCCTTGGACCCTTGCCTGGGGCCCGTGGAGAAGACTTACATTCTACAGCAAGGTCTAGAATTAAAGGCTTTCAGTAGAAGGGGAAGCCTGGGTCAGATTAGGGTTCAAACCCGAGCACTGCTGTTCACTAAGTTCACTAAGTGAGAATTTAGAGGCACTGTCTTGATCTCAGTGAGCCCTGTTTCCAAATTGGGCAGGATGCTTTGTCTACATTTCAGTGCCATGGTCAAGTCCGAATGAGATGATGCAGTGAAAGTGTTGGGCACAGTGCCCAGTCCATGGTACAAGCTTACTAGAGGGAGCTAATGTTTTCTCTGTTAAGCCTCACTCTAACTCCGACAAGCAGACAGGGCAGCCATCATAATCCCAATTTATAGATGAGAAAACTGGCTCAGGGAGGTCAAGTTCCTTGCTCAAATTCACAGAGCTACTAATTGGCCAGTCAAGGCTCAAGCCT